GATCAGAAGAAGGAACATGGGATTGATGCAATCTTTTTGGCTACAAAACAAAAAGGTAAGAAAGACTTCTCGAAGATGCAATGTTATTAATGCAAAGAATATGGTCATGTGGCATCCCACTACAAGAAGAAAAATTTTTGCACCTACTACAAACAATAGGGACACATTATAATGGAATGCCCAACCAAGCCTCCCAAGAAAGGACAACATAAGGCTTATCATGCCTCGGCTGAACCAACTTCTACTGATACTGTCGTCTCCTCATCAGCTCACAAACCAAATGCACAAAGAAATTTGATTGAAGAAAAGATTCATGAGCTCATGTCTTTGGCTATTTCATCTGCTTTTTCTACTTTTTGACTGGTTGATAAGTCTGCTTATTTGTGTTCCTCTCCTTCTCACTTGTGGGTCATTGATTATGTGGCCTCAAATCACATAACTGGGGCCTCCTTTGGTCAATCTTCTAAACCTTACACCTCTGTCAACCATATTATTACTGCTAATGGTGATTCTCTACCTATATGTGGTTGTGATAATTTATTTCTGTCCACTTCTGAGTCCAAACCCTTGCATCTTCCCAAAACCTTCCTTGTGCCTAAATTGACTATCAACCTTATTTCTGTTGGGCAATTTGTTGATGATGGTAATAATGTCTTATTTACTCGTGATGGTTGTTTTATCCAGGACCGGCACACTCATGCTAAAGGGGAGCTAAAGGGGAAAGGGCGTAGGCTTGGAAGATTGTTTGCTTTGGAATTTGAGAATAAGGAAGCTTCTTCGGATTCTTGTTTACTATCTACTACCTCTAGTTTGTTTATTTCCTCTTGTAATAATGTGTGGCACTTATGGCACAGACGTTTGGGTCACACTCATGCTAAGAACTTGGATTACTTATTTTCTTCTAATTGTTTGCCTATGACTACTACTTCATTTAAGAATGTTGATAAATCCCGTTTAACTTGCTGCGATAGTAAAAGTCATGTTTTACCCCTCCATCTTCTACTGAACATGCTTCTACACCTTTTTTACCTTGTTCACAATGATGCGTGGTCGTCTCCAATTATTTCACGCTTGGGTTATAAATATTTTGTGTTATTCATTGATGACTGTACTCGATACACATGGGTTTATTTTCTTTGAAAAAAATCAAAAGTTTTATCCATGTGTAAGAACTTTCATGCTATGGTAATGACCCAATTTAAAAGAACTATTAGCATTTTGAGGTCATATTCAGGGGGAGTGTACCATGATGGTGAAGATGGTGAGTTTCAAACATATCTCAAACAACATGGTATTTCATCCCAGAGATCTTGCCCAAGTACTCCTCAACAGAATGGAGTATCGAAGCGCAAGAATCGCCACATTGCTAGTATGGTGAGATCCTTGATACAAGACTTTCATGCTCCCCTTACCTTCTGGGTGGAGACGACCTGAACTGTTGTTCACCTCATCAACATTCTTCCTACATCTATGCTTCGAAATTCTTCTCCCCATCAATCCTTATTTCATCGCCCACCAAACCTATCCATACTTCGTGTCTTTGGGTGTGCTTGTTTTGTCCATCTCCTTCCCCATGAACACACTAAATTAATAGTTCAATTCATTCATGGGATATAGTATGGAACACAAGGGATTTCTTTGTTATGATCCCAAAGTCCATAGATTGCATATTTCTCGCAATGCCATCTTTCTTGAGAACCTTTCATTCTTTAAACATATTAGTTAAATGCTTGCACCATCCATTTCTATTCTACATAACTTTGGCTCTATAGGTGATTCTCCTCCTTCATCTCAGCCACTTCAGATTTATTCCAGGAAGCATCCAGTTCGCCCATCGCCTATTCCTCCTCCACTTCCAGCAACAGTAACTAGTCACTCCTCTCCATCTATTACCACTGTAAGATCATGTTCTCATCTTGAGGATTTACCTTCATCTATTCCTTTACGTCAATCATCTCGTATTTTCCGTCCAGTTGATCGCTATGGCTTCTTTTTTAGTCACAGCTCCTTCTTAGCCGTTTTGTCATCCACGGATATTCCTAAGTCTTACAACCAAGCCATAGCAGTTAAGCATTGGAAAGATGCTATGGATTCAGAGGTTCAAGCCTTACTGGAGAATGATACCTGGGAACTTGTCTCTCCTCCCCTAGATGCCTCCATCATTGGTAGCCGATGGGTTTACACCGTGAAACTCAAATCATATGGTACTTTGGACAGATATAAGGCCCGTTTGGTTGCTCAATGCTACAAGCAAGAGTATAGAATTGACTACAATGAAACTTTTGCTCCTGTGGCTAAAATGACAAAAGTTCGTTTGCTCCTGGCCATTACTGCTCTTAGACAATGGACAGTTCACCAGATGGATGTCAAGAATGCCTTCCTCCATGGACATTTACAAGAGACAATTTATATGAAACCACCTCCCAGCTACTGTGACAACCCTCTTTTGGTGTGTAAACTAAAAAATCCTCTATATGGTCTTAAACAAACTCCACGAGCTTGGTTTGACCGCTTCCATACAGTAGTGTTGGAGGTTGGTTTTCAGTAGAGTGCTTCAGATTACTCTCTGTTTACTTACAAGTGAGAACAGGGGTTGACTCTTCTTTTAGTTTATGTTGATGATATCCTTATCACTGGAGATGTGGACGGTATTAACAACCCGAAGCTTCTGCTTAGTAACTCCTTCAAAATGAAAAATCTTGGGCCAGTGACCTACATTCTTGGGCTTGAAATTCAACGATGTCATCAAGGTTATTTTGTCAACCAACAAAAATATGCCTCTAATGTGGTGACTCTTGCTTGCTTGACTAACTCCAAACAAGTTGATACCCCTTTGGAGCTTAACTGTAAGTTGAGTAAGGATGAGGGTGATCTTCTCCCTAATGCTACTCTATATCGGCAGCTTGTAGGTAGTCTTATCTACCTAACCATGACTAGACCGGACATTTCCTATGCAGTCCAGATCATGAGCCAGTTTGTATTTGCTCCACATTAGCCTCACTTTTTTGTAATTCTCCTGATTATTTGTTATGTCAAGGGCACTCTATCACATGGATTATTTTTCTCATCCTCCTCCACTCAGCTCCAAGCTTATGCAAATGTCGAATGGGCATGTTGTCCCGATACTCATCGCTCAACTACTGGCTGGTGTATATTCCTTAGTGATTCCTTGGTTTCTTGGAAATGCAAGAAACAACAAACTGTTTCCAAGTCATCTACTAAAGCCGAGTATAGAGCCATGTCCTCAATATGTAGTGAAATAGTTTGGCATAAGGCTCTACTTCATGGCATGGACATTGATCACTCATTTGCTATTCCTCTGTTTGTTGACAATATGAGTGCAATCAAGATTGCATCCAATCCTGTATTTCATGAGCATTCTAAACATATTGAGGTGGATTGTCACTTCATTCATGACCTCCACACGGGTCACATCTCTCTCCCACATGTTTCATCAAACCTACAGCTTGTAGATCTCTTCACCAAAGCTATGACCAAAGCCTGACATAATTTCCTTGTGGACAAACTGATGCTTATACCCCAACATCAATTTGAGGGGGAGCATAGAGAAGATAAATGGTAGTTTTGTAATTCTACTGTATTTTTATTCTTCTTTCTTGTATTGTAATAGGCGTGTACATTAGTGTACTTCTCTTTTATTTCTTTATAAGGACAATCTTGTCCATTCACGTAAGTTTAATATAAATACCTTTTTTTTGGGTTTGTTCAATCATATTGATCAACCCTAACAGATCTGAACTTGTGTTTCTCTTTTTTCTCTTTCAACTTCTCACAAACTGACACATCTTCTCTACAATTTCTACTTGGTGAAGCAATGTATACATTGGGGGAAGGTTCGATCTAGTTTATTGTGCATTTTGGGGGTGTTTTCTTGTCACTTCTCATTTGTATTTCTCCTTTTATAAATTTGGGAAGAAATTAGTGTTATTAACAAAGTTTTAAGACATGCCAAATAGGGTCTATAGGTGTGCAAGCTAGGTACCTGAATTGAAAATTGTACATGAAATTGGGCCCAGGCCCTTTCAAATTTTAACAATTGTGTGACCTGAGCCCACCCAATGCTGGGAAAAAAATCATTGGCAAAAAAGTTTATCCTGTTACTTGATTGTATTTAAATGGACGGTTGAAAATGCTTTTTTCTTTTAAATCTCGAGTGAGATTGTTAAAAATCCTCTTACTTTGCTTTTTTTCTATATGGACATTGTTTTCCAATAACACATCCAATAGTGGGTCATGATCATCAAAACATGGAGCAAGTGGCAAACTATGGCCTCTGGACCCATATCCACAATGTGTATCCCATGCCTAAGACACTACAAAATTAGAAAATAGGAACAGAGGTAAGCTAATGAATGAGGAAAATGGAGAGGGCTATTGCATTCAGCAATTTTTCTTGCATTTCCAAATAAAAGAAGAGTTGTTGGAACTTGGAAAGACATGTAATAGAGGGAGGACAGTTTTGGAAAGAAACTAGCTCCCATTGCACTAGTGGAAAATGGAGAAAGAACAGCTTTCTGGGTATATTTGTTCTTCCTAAACAAGCACCCTCTAGGTCATTGTTAATACAACCTCTCATCTCATAATCATAACTTCATTGTAAAGAACATAAGGGAAGAATTATGAGATAAAACTAATTATACCTGATGATTTTCATATTCAGTTGAGGCTCACAGGAGATGTTAAATTGAGCCCTTTAAAAGCTCAACTCTAAGTTTCTTCATAATAATTAAATTATTTTCACATGCTCAGAGCAAATAGGAATGGGGGATAAAGACTAATGCACTGAGAAGCATATGACATATAGAAGGATAAGAAACAAAAGAGAAAAAGAAAAACCGAATGGATATAGAGAAAATGGATGATCCATCCAACAAGGTATACACGACGAGAGGGAAATAACATTTCTAAAGAACAAACAAAGAAGGGAAAAAAAAAAAGAAAAAACAACTGAGTAAATATACAGTTTGAGTAAAACTTACAGCAACACATGGAGCAAACGTATATGGTATGCCCGTAGCTCTAACTTCCAGGGCAGTCGCAACCCCAATCCTTTGAACTAAATCTGCATCTCTATAGCTCATCCAAATAATTGGATATTGAGTGAGATAAGAAAGTGGAGACACACGATAGGTTTTGATGGTATTTGTAACTTGTGGATTAAGTTTTCATCATCTTTTCCAGTTGAAGCAAAGACGAGCAAGAAACTCATTGAATAGGTACCAAAATTCAGATAATTAGCTAAAAAATAACCTGGTTGCCCCAAGGCCGATGTTGTGAGGGAAGATGGTAGCACCATATACATTATTGTGGCCATGAACTGCATCAGTAGCATAGAGAATCGGAACCCCAAGGCGCGACTGAATAGCTGCCTTCTGAAAGGAATCAACCATATCGGCCCAATCGGTAGCCGAGGCGCCATCGAATGGAGCACTGCCACCGCCACTGAGAACACTACCTGCAAATTGCATTCGTGAATTGAACGAGGAATGGCAGAACCTTTTGAACCCACAATAACAGAAAGAGAGGGAGTACCGATGCATAGGTCTCTAATGGCGGAAGGATTGGCAACAGATCTCTCAATCTGGGTCATCTGACCGAGTTTCTCTCTCAACATCATTCGAGAGAGAAGATCTCTAACCCTAACCTCCACGGGTTCATTACTGTTTCTGTAGATGCACTGGGGTTCCTCCGTTTTACTCATCTCAGCCTCTGTCTAGAGTATAGACTACACTACAGACTTCCCCAAGTTTTTGTCTTACTCATTGGATTTTGATCTCCTTTGCCCACTCAAAAAAAAACTTGAGAATTGTAAGAGGTAAATCATGTATACTTTTCTCTTAATGGGGTGACTTTATATAGGCTAGCTGTTGTGAGGATTACAAATCACGTTCGAGATCTTTAGCTGGAGGTAGTTTTACGCCCAAAAATGGATTCCATGTAAGCGGATAATGTCTATCCGTGATGTGGCATTGTAATCTTGAGGAAGTCAGAGACCCACTTGTGGGGGAGGTTGCCTCGCACGTCAAGCAGGTCGTTAGCTGAATTCAGGTCAGGTTGGTGGAAGCAGGTCAACTCTCGTGCCAACCTAATGTCTTGCCAGGCTGTTCATAGTTTGGTCTATGAATAGTGTGACCTTTTTGACCGTTGATTTGTCACCACATCATATCATCCATTGATTTCCCACGCTCATGGCTATAAATAGGGGGTCCCATTCACACTATTCTAAGATTTCTGGCAAGAGAGTGAGACAAACGATTGGAGGGGAATTCTACTCAGAGGTCGTTAGTTTGATAAGCTAAATCCGGTCATGCGAGGTTAATTTCTATTTTCCAAAAAGCTGGTGAGTCTTTTTCCCTCTTTTAGTCATGTCTTCGAGTAAGTCATAAGGGGGGTCCTCTTATTTTGCTCGGACTGAGGAAGGGACTTCAGCACGATATTGGTGAGGTTCCCATATTGGGACCTCAACTTCTCAGCAAGAGTCGGAGTCCAGCTCCTAGTTTGGTCCCAACGAGCTAAGCGGGGAAGAAATCGTTAGTTTAGTGTTTCATTCCGCATCCCAAATGAGTTCAACTATATTCTACTTGGCCCGGACTAGTTCCCTTGGAGCCACGGTCGAGGTGAAATCTGTGTCTTTGAGGAGGCGTTGATCGCTAACCTCTGATTTCCTCTACACCCATTCATTGTCGAGGTGCTCTTTCTTTACAGTATTTCTTTGGGAAAACTCCACCTGAATGCCATCCAAACCCTCATCGGAACAATTTCTCTCAGCTACCATCTTATCTTCCCTCTAGACATAGATGTCTTCTCAGGTTGTGCAGTATAAAGAAGGTTCCCAACGAGCCCTACTATTTTTACTTGTCTTTCCGCCAAGGTTATAAGCTTTTGGGAGGTTTTCCCACAAAGGCGAGGGACTGGGAGAGTAAGTATTTCTTCCTTTCTCAAAAAGTCGACTAGCCTACAGACACCATTTGGCGACATAGGGCGAGAAATGTCTCTGAGGTCGAGTTCAGTGACTAGTTGAGTGTTGAGGTCCAACGCCTTGTACGTCAATAGTTAATGATAGATCAATTCTTAGCCGAGCCTATGCTCGTTTGAGCTACCCTAAGTCCCGTAGGTAAGTTGGCCTAATCGTCACTTGTCTTTTATATTGAAGGTTACCTTCTAGTTCGGCTAACTCACTTTTCTTTTGTGTATTTCCTCAGAGATGGCGAGTACTACTTCCCTCCTGACAGCGGCCAAGAGGCCCTCAAAGAAGAAGAGGACGCCTAACTCCTCAGTTCGCTCGTCAATGGAGGGTTCATTGGTCGGTGCCGAGGAGAGTCTTGCTACACGCATGCCCAAGGTCGTCGACCTTGAAGGGGTCGGCAACCCCATGTCAATAGAGCCCGCTTAGGTCTCCACAAGTCCAACCACCCCATCCCCTTAGGTTGCCCCAGAAGAGTGCACTACCGGTCCCTCTCACTCTAACATACCTCATTTCATACCCAACATCAACATTTCAATTATAAACCATCTCATTGATCCTTTAGTTGCTCTGCGAATAGGGAGGGGAATCCTTCTCCCTAAAGACTTCCAATACTATAGTGGGCTTGATCTTGCTGATGTCAACACAAGAATGACTCGGTGCATCCTACAAGTGTGTGATCTTTAATTTTGATGTCTGGTTATCTTTCTTTTTGAGCCTTATTGTTATTGTTTCTTTTTTGCAGGCAAACTCAATGGACCAAGTCTTGCTAAATCAGGTCGCCTTATCCAAGTGTGAAAAGCAGGAGATGCAAGTGAACATAGAGACCCTACAAGTCTAACTGGAAGGAGCTCGCTTGAGCGCTAAGGCAACTCACCGTAGTGCAGAGGAGGACCGCCAACGCTTCTTCGAGCTCAACGCCGACATGTAGCATGAGTTGGAGCAACCCAAGGGGACCATTGCCACCCTGGCCGACGAAGTGCAAACCAAGGATCGTCAACTGGAAGAGTGGTGAACTAAATCTACTAAAGATATTCCTCATGCCAAGGTTGCAGTAGTCGAGCGTTTCCGCTTGTCGCCTGAGTATGAACCGAAAAAGATCGATAATGTTCTTCTTTCTATGAAGAGGGTATTCAAGCTATGCTGTAGTCCCTACATCCCAATTTCGATTCCAGTACTCTATCCATTAGGTCGATACCAGACGAGCTACCCATGCAAGTCAACCAATAGCCTCTAACTCTAGATAAGGAGGATGGTGAGGTCACAATGTGGTGGAGGACGAGGGGACGGACGGGGTTGACGATGATTTGTAGGGCGATGAAGAAGAGTAACTGCTAGTGGGGAGTCTCTGTTCATGTTCTTTGGAGAATTGTTGTGCCTGAAGAATGCTTCTTTTTTAGAGCTTTCGTGCTCTAGAATGATTTTTTCTTTGCCCATTGTTTTTTTTCGAATGACTGTGTATCCTCTTTCCTTTCTTTTTCTTTCTTTGAATGAATGGATCAATCTTTCTTGTATGCTTTGCGCCTTCTTTCCTGCCCTTTATTTTCCACCACTAGAAAATAGGGTAAGTACTAAAACACGACCCGAGGTTGTCAGGGTGCACCTATGTCCAGGGGTGCAAGTCGAGTGGGTTCGGCCGGGTTTATGGTTAACCCAGGTCCGAAACTAAAATTTGGGATTAAGGCCCGAGCCCGAGGTCAAGCCCGATTTTCCTAACCCGAGCCCAGCCCGCCCTGTAATTTGATGCACTCAGGTTGGGCTTGGGTTGGTCAATGAACCCACTCTAAAATTATCAATAGATAAATGTGTTTATGCAAATATATACATATATTTATGTATGTATGTAAATATGTATGCAAAATATCTATACAAATGTTATATATATGTATGTATATAATTGATTTTGGCTTGGGCTTCCTAAGGGCTAGGCCCGAACCTAGCCCAAAAAATAAAAAACCTTGACTTCTTGGGCCTAAGCCCAGCCCGAGGACCAAAAATCCAAGCCTAGCCCGTGTATAATTCAAAGTTGGGCCGATTCGGGCTCAGGATGGGCCTGCCCAAGTCCCACCCGTACCTCTATCTAGGTCTTGAAGCAATTGGACTTGCGATTTTTGCTAAGTCAAAATGTTGTCGGACTATATATCTTCTCAACTAAGTCGAAGTGTTGTCGAGCTGACGACATCTTCCAAGTTCGGCATAGGGGGCCTTAGAGCTGAAAGCAGTTTAGCTTTCCCTTATTCATTTAGATTTTTTACCATGTCGCCGTAGCGGGCAGCCTACACTTTGCTTTTGCGAATGCAACCTGAAAACTCCAAACTCCTCAAAAGTAGTATCTCCTTAAGTTATCAATGTTCCACGCACGGGATACCTGCCTACCCTCCAATGTTTTGAGCTCATACATGCCTTCACTGATCACTTTGAGTACTTTGTAGGGGCATTCCCAGTTTGGACCTAGCTTTCCTACACTGGGCTCAGGTACCATAACCTTCCTGAGTACCAGGATGCCAACTCAAAATTGGCGTCTCTTAACTCGGGCATTGAAGTACCGATCTACCCGTTGTTGGTATGCCATAGTTCGAATGTAGGCTAATTCACGAACCTCCTCCACTAAGTCAAGGTTAGTCCACAGCTCATTCTCGTTAACTTCCTCATCATACATCTCAGACTGCAAGGTCGGCACTTCAATTTCGGTTGGGATGACAGCCTCCATCCTGTACGTAAGGTTGAAAGGAGTCTTGTCGGTTGCTATCTTGATAGTAGTTTGGTAGGCCCAGAGAACACTAGGCAACTCATCCACCCGCACACCCTTAACTTGGAAAAGCCGAGCTTTAAGTCCGTGGAGGATTGCCCTGTTTGTCACTTTGGCATGACCATTTGCTTGGGGGTGGGCCACCAAGGTGCAGTTCAGTTGGATTCCCATCTCGACATGCCAATTATAGAACTTGATGTATTCGAACCGCTTTCCATTGTTTGATATCAACACATTGGGGAGTCTGAATCGGTAGACAATGTTCCTCCAAAAGAAATTATGGACATTGAGCTATGATAAATACCATCGGCTCAACTTCCACCAACTTAGTAAAATAGTCAACCACTCAACCGCAACCACCAAGAACCTCCTCTACCGAGTCAGCAGGCTGGTGTGGTATATTAGCATTTCACTAACACTTGTCACACTTCTGAACTAACTCCACTGCGTCCACCTTCATTATGGACCAGTAGTAGCATTCTCTTACAGCTTTCTGGGCCAGCACCCTGGCCCCCAAGTGTCCTCTGTAGAAACCTTCGTGGATTTCATATAGCACCTGGTTCACTTCTTTTGGTCGCGAGTAGCGTAAGTAAGGGATTGTGAACGACCTGCAATACAGTTGTTCGCCAATGATAACATAGTGATCTAATTACCACTCTACCCTCCAAGTTGTGTTGCATTTCGCTGGTAGGCTCCCGTTGCACAAATAGTCAATGAGGGGGTCAATCCAACTCAGTCCCGTAGCCAAAACAGGAGTGTCCTCTTCTACCACCTTTTTTATGATAGGTTGTGGCAGGTCTTTAATGTAGACCATTCTCTTTGTGATGTCCATTGCACTAGCCAACTTCGAGACTGCATCAACCTTGGGATAGGACCATAATGTTATGGGCTAAAAGTAAGGACGCAATTTACAAGTTGCTAGCACCAGCGATAAGGCCAACTTTTCGATATTCAGGTACCTCGTCTTGGCAGCATGCAGAACTTTATTTACATAGTAGACAGATCATTGCACCCTGTCCGCCTTGCGAATTAAAGCCGCATTGACTACCTCGTCACTCGCTAAGAGGTAGAGTTTTAGCTTGTCTCTAGGCTCCGACCTAGTTAGTAAGGGTGGTGAACTCAAGTACCTTATCAGCTCGTCAAATGCGAGATGTCACTCTTTATTTCACTCAAAACCTTGGTTCTTTTTTATGATTTTAAAGAATGGAAGGTACCACCCATCCGACTTAGACATAATCCAGTTCAAGGTGGTTAGCTGGCCTATTAGCATTTGGACATCTTTAATTAACCAAGGGGGTCTCATATCTAGGATGGCCTAGATTTTTTTGTCTAGGTTGGCTTCGATGCCATGTCGGTTCACTATGTACCCAAGGAACTTGCTAGACGTGACCCCGAAGATGCACTTGTTCAGGTTGAGCTTCATGTTGTATTTTCTTAAAATATAAAAAATGCAATTTAAGTTAGCAATTAGAGAATTTGAAAACTATGTTTTCACAATCATATCATTAACATATGCTTCTATTTTATTTCCAATTGGGTTAGAAATTACTTTAGTTACAAGGCATTGGTAGGTCACTCCAACGTTTTTTAAAGCAATGGGCATAACTTTATAACAATCTAAGCCTTACAAAGACAGTTTTTTCCTAATCGGCTGGATCCATCTAGATTTGGTTGTAGTCTGAGTAAGCATCCATGAAGGTTAACAACTCAAACCTTGAGGTCACGTCTATCAAACGGTCTATCATAGGGAGTGGGAAGTTGTCCTTTGGGCAAGCTCTGTTGAGGTCGGTGTAGTCGATCCACATGCGCAATTTGTCATTGACCTTCTTCACGAGCACTGGGTTTGCAATTGACCTTCTTCATGAGCATTGGGTTTGCATTCTAGCTCGGGTATTGGACCACTCTAACGAAATCTATTATGAGGAACTTCCCTACATCCTCGTTCACTATCCTCCACCGTTCCCAGACGAGTTTCCTTTTCCTCTATAGGACTAGTTTGACTAAAGGGTCAACATTTAGCTTATAAGTTATGATAGGGGGTCTATGTCGGGAATTTCTACTATCAACCAAGTAAAAACATCTAAATTATTAATTAAAAAACTTACCAGTTCAAAGCATAATGGTTTTGTGAGACGGGCTCTGATATGCACCATCTTCGCGGGGTCGGTATTTGAGACCGACACCAGGACGATGTCATCCACAAGGTGAGCTCTCTTGTTGCCGTTCTTCGGGGGCAGCTCCAAGTCAACATCAGCAACCTGTTTTCTTTCTCTTTGAGCGTGGCCACATAACACTTCTGTGACTCGAGCTGATCTCCTCAAACTAGTCCCACTCCGTAGTTTGTCAGGAATTTCATCCACTGATGATAGGTCGACACCATGGCTCTGAGCACATGCAAGATTGATTGGCCCAAGATGGCATTGTAGGGCGAAGGAGTCGCGACTACTAGGAAGTTGTGGTTGAAGTGCACCTGGTTTGGTAGCAAACCCTTGCCACTAGCACTTATGCGGCGTAGAGGCCACACAACTTCTCTCCACTGAAGCTAACTAGGGAGACGTCGGACGATAATAGGTCATTCCTCTCTAGCTTCATCCACTTGAATGCCTCCAAGAAGACGATGTCCGCCGAACTACCGGAGTCGACTAGAATCCGTTTATCACTAACTTGACCACGATGGCGTCATCATGCGGATATTGGATCCTGCGAGCATCATCCTTGGTGAAGTAGATCACTTCCTCCATGTGAGGGCACTTAGGTGGGTTCTCATCCTCATGCACGAGCTCCCAAACTAAGTTCTTTCTTGTTGAGCTGTAGCATCCTGCCACAATGAACCCACCCATGATCATATTGATCACACTACGAATGAGCCGCTCTACTGGTGATGGGTCTCAGGGAGGTTGGTCCCTGTTTTGATCCCTGCTCAATTGCGTCACTTCTCTGGGCTGGTCAACAGGTCGGTGGCGGGCTTCCTACTTAATGAACTGCTTTAGGTAACCTCAACGAATCAACTTCTCGATCTTGTCCTTGAGATTACAACAATTTTTTGTATCATAGTTGATGTCTTGGTGGAAGTGAGAATACTTGTTCAGGTTCATGTTGGATGGGTCTCCCCTCATCCTACGTGGCCATTTGACATACTCAACTGTCTTTATTTGCATTAGGATTTCTCCCCTCTTTGTGTTTTAGAACAGTGTAGTTGTGGTTCTAGACAGGAAGGGTGCGAGAATGCCAAGTTGAGGACTTGCTACCTTTGTAAAGGGACATGCTCTTTCATGGAAACCTGCTATGCCGACTACGTGGGGACCTGTTGCATCTCGGTGACTTGCTCTTCTGTCGTTGCTCGTTGCTTCCAGACTCATCTTTCAATATCTTTTGCTTACCGCTCAGCTTTAACCGAGACCCGAGCGCTTCTTTGGCCTTCACGAACTTGGCGGTCCGGTTAAGGAACTCCTCCATAAAGGCCAGAGGGTTCAACACAACCTCCCAGCGCAAGTCAGGATGTCGAATGTTGTTGACTACCGTGGTGAGCTGTAGGGCCGGGTTGAGATTAGGGATTTGAAGCCACTCCAGGTTAAACCACTTGATGTAGTCTTGGAACTTCTCATCAAGTTGCTGATGACATTCAGTAAACAAGTCGCCGACTTCAGGCACTACTTGCTCGTCGCGAAGTGGGTGATGAAGAGGTTTGCAAACTGACTCCAACTCTTAATGGAGCCCGCGGCCCGCCCCGAGTACCACATCCAATCCGCATAAGATTCGAATCTGATGTGAGTATGACAATATCAGATTTCCAAAGATATTGGGTGCAAATGTAATGTAACTGACTTCGATCTGATTTCAGCCCTAACAAGAGATGGTCGTAGCTGCATTGCCTTGTGGGTAGTGGATCTGGATTCCATTAGAATGGCCATGTAACGTTGACAATTTCAAATATGATTGCTACTTTCTGTTCAGGGGCAAGATAACGCTACCCTGTCAAATATAGGCGATAGGTAATATTGATACAAGCTCGTTTGGCCAGCTTTCATTTCCAACCGTGGCATCCACTTGATTATCAGGGTTTCTTTGTAAATGCAAACCGGTTATACTTTCTTTGGTTTTACCCATTTGTGCATTTAGGTTCCATTTTGCCTTTCTCTCTTCGACTCCAAAGCAAAAGTGCAACTTTTGCGGGTTAGAGTTGGGATTTTGTAAAAATTTCAATGGGCCCAACCCAAAGCTAGGGTCTGGAACACTGTAAATTGTTAACTCGGGTTGGGCCAACCCGACATGCACCCTTACTTGTTCATCCTAGTTTGCTTTGCTTGACGCCTGGACCAGAGATAAAGACGGTCCAGTAGATTGTAGTTGTATACTGGCAGTCATAGTGACCTAGTGGGTTTATTTTTTCTTGGATTAATGTAATAGCTATATTAGCAAAGCAAAATCACCAGATATATTTTTATAAAACAGTGGCACAGAGAAGGAAGAAGAGAATTTCCAACTTCACCCATCCGCATTCAACTTGAGGATTTGCACATTTTCTTACATGTACAGACTACAGAGCAACATTTTTTGTTCATTCATGAAGTTGACGTCAAAGATTACAACAAAGCATAGATAAAGAAAACAATAAAGAACTCTCCAAAATTGATCGGACATTATCTTGTAGATACCACAAATGGACGACGCCATACTCAACCACTGATGCAGTTCAGATAAAACCCGTTCAATAAACCTCCAAAAATTTGGAAAGAAAAAAAAAATGGGCTACCAAGGTACTTGCAGAAATTGATGCCTGTGGATAAATATGATCCAAAAAGCAAGTCTTGCCGGTCTTGTCTGATGAAGCTATACTCAATCGCATAATATTTTTTTCATCATCCCAACATAACATCAAATCAGAGTGCCCGACGAAAAATGATGGAACATACCATTGAATCAGATTTGCTGATGGATTCCCAGAAAGAGGAGATGGCTGGGGCAAGAATTTAAGGATACTTTCACCGAAAGAAATGCTTTCAAATTACGAGTTGGAGACAAACTTAATACAAGAAAGAGGGCCCCTATTGGCTGGTGGATGATATTACAAGAAAGACCTTATGAACATGGCATGTTATAGATCCTGTTACCAGTACAAGAGATGGATATACAAAGTTCTATGTGTTTACCATGGAAGGGGGGACCAATGGAATAACACTTTCCGTGTAGTCTGTTCTTGGCCCGGCAAGAGAGTAGTATGCAAGTATTTGGGCCGGATGGTCAACTATCTCCTCTCTTTGTCCATCATTAATGTTGACCCTTCTTGCAGGAATTAACTCGATGTTCCAGAAGGGACGAGCCATGGCCAAGAGGTCACTACCTGTTGCAGATGCTCCATACCCTTGCACCCACAAGTATCTCAGAGAAGATAGTCGCATTACAGCTAGAGCTAGTGCACGTTCACTGAAGCAACAGCCCCTCACTTCAAGTTTCTGTAAGCTAGGACAGCCTCTTGAGAACTCCAGAAGCCCATCATCTGATTCTCCCACATATCCCAGAAGCATCCACCTCACATTCTGGCTGTACTGCCCTATATAACGGAGACCCACATCAGTCAAGCCCCTTGGTCGTAGATAAAGAGCAAACCTCCTAAGCTTCTCACAACCCCTCAACAGAGCTCGGACCCCGTTGTCAAGTGGCAAGTCTGTTATCCTTTCTTCACGGTCAAGCAAAACTAATCGGAAATCACAGAGATTTTTGCAAAAAGTCCCAATAGATTCCAAAGAAGCATTGGTTATGTCAGATACATAGACAGCCAGGTATTGCAGCTCAGTACAGCCTTGTGCCAGAGAAGATAATCCTCTTTGTGAAACTAGGCCTTGTTCATCCTCCATTTCCTGATCATCTGCACCTCTCTCAATTCTAAGCCTCTTTAATTTTTTACAATTCTGAGCAAGAACTTCTAGACCTCTATCTCCAATCACATTTCTTGCCTATTCATAAGATAAAAAACAGGAATAAATTAGCAGCCTAATTCCCAAACCATGATGGTAAAAATAATGAAAGAAGAACTGTTTTCAGATTCTACCTCCAAAGTTTCTAAATTGGGGCATCGTTGAATCAGTTGGCAATGGTCCTCTGTATCAAGCAAGGCATACAGGAGATCCAGTTTCTTGAGTAGTGATGCAAATGGAAATACTATAGACATTTCATTCCTCCCCATGTAGCCGAGACCCAAGCGACATAGTCTTGAGGGGAATGGAACAACTAAGTACCTATCAGGTTGCTCATTGAAAGAACCCCCACCAAATTCCTCTAATGCAGATGCAGCACGGAAGAAACCAACTAGGTCCAATATCTCAGGTTCACTAATTTTAATTGAAACTAAAGACCGGCAATTCCTGGCTATCAGTTCAAGGTCTTGGACACTGATTTTCATGAGATCTGTCATATAGAAGTTCAAAACCTCAAGCACTGTGTTGTTTAGAGCAAGATCATGGAGCCACTCACCATCTTTCTCATCTATCATACTCTCTTCTAAAAACAATGTTCTTAGAGCACTGCAGAAGCATAGGTAGAGATAGAGGAAAAAGAGAATAAGTCACTTAATACCAATGATCATACATGTCTAAAACAACAATTCAACCATTAAAATGCATAAATAAAAACAACTTCAATACATCCAGACAGTTGAAATTTTAGTGAAATTTCCCTGTCCAAATCCTTACTTTACCTGGGCACAATGGGCTAATGCACACACACACACACACATGCATCAAAATATTTATGGATCCTCTTCCCCTGAAAATGTCTAAATCAGTATCATGCCCACTACCAGCAAAACTGATATTTCATATTGCAACACATGCATGATGGTCAAAACATATTCAAGATGATGCTACATGAAACCAAGGTGACCAAATAGCCAATAATTATGACCCAACAATGGATTGTTGAACTGTCATTGGACTAAAAATGAAATGGAAAATAAAACAATACATGATAAATCAAGAGCTGAACATTGCTCAAAAGAATTTATAGAAAGGTTTTAGAGTAATGATAGAAGGCAGCTCAGCTATCTCTGAAACCCCACTACAGACAAAGTACAGTCCATGAACAATATTATTGTCCTTCAACTTGTTTCTGTGAGTCCCGCCATGTCTCTAGCACATGGCAAAGGCAGTTAGCAGTTAGCACTGCTCTAGATGTCATCATCATCCTCTATGCCTCTACCCAACTACATAGTGTCAGCTACATGAGCTTGTTCTGCCATTTTGTTTTGTTCAGTGCTTCAGCATCCATGTTCGTAAGACTTTGGTTAGAAGCTTAAATGCCAGCTGCCAACCTGGCACAACCTTCCTCGGTTCCTCCTTTATCCAGGCTCGGGACCGGGAGTACAAAACAAGCTCACATTGGCAGAGTTTAGGACTGCTCTAGATTTCAACCCACAAAGGGGGTGTCTGCCAATGTGTATGGTTTTGTTTTCGGAACAAAATTATATTGTTTTTGCTGATGTAGCAATTGTTTCTGTTAAAAAAACAAAACCATAAACATCAGCGAAAACATGCAAAATAGGGACAAAGCAAAGAATGACCAGAAGATTAATAAAGTGCATATTTCAGAAGATAAGCAAAAAAATTTTTTTAATGGTGAGCCCACTCACTAAAACCTCGAAATTTGAAGATATACCAGAAAGGCTGGAAAGCCTATTGACCAATAGAAGCTATCTGTCTTGCCTTCTCACATGTGCAGGGTTTCTCCAACATCTACAGGTTCCAAAGCTACTACTGTTGCAAATCTGAGTAAAGTGAGTTAAGATAATCCTCCAAGTTTAAATTAAGTCATTGCGTTTTGAATGATAAGTAGGGTGTTAATTAAGAAAGATAAAACAAGTAAACATGAGAACTTCGTTCAAAGTCACCATTTAGTAGAAGAATATATTGAACTTTTCCCAGTCTTTTGTGATCTTGGGTTCTAATCTAAGGTTAGTTACTTCTAATGAGTAGATGGAATTGGAGGAGTGGGATTAAATTTTTTATCTTCGTATTAATCAACAAAAAGAGAAACAAGAAATTGATGGGTGAGAAGATTTGCTTCATTATTTGAAAGCTACTGAGCTCCTAAAAAGGATATGTAAAGAGAATCACTTTGAAATCTAAGAATTTTTCTTTCTTCCTTGTCTTGCTTCATTTCATGGTTCATGCATAGTGAAAACTCGTCCAAAAAAAAAGTTCTATTAACAAATTTGGGCAAAAGCAGAGGAGTTGGACACAAGTAGATCTATAATGGCACTTTCCAGAAGTTTTTCTTTCTTCCTTGTCTTGCTTCATTTCATGGTTCATGCATAGTGAAAACTCGTCCAAAAAAAAGTTCTATTGACAAATTTGTGCAAAAGCAGAGGAGTTGGACACAAGTAGATCTATAATGGCACTTTCCAGAAGTTTTTCTGAAGTTCGTACATAAAAAGCAACATATCATATTGCCACATTGTTTCCTAGAGGGAAAAAAACATTTTAATTTGACTGTTAGCATACTTTTTTTTTACTATTAGCATGCTTAACTCGTTTTAAAATGTATTAATTCATTGAACTGCACTTTCTTTTTTTTTTTTTTTTGAGAAGAAGGCAAACAATTTTTTCCATCATACCCTGCTTTCTTTAGCAGAAAACTTTATCATGGCACTTCCCCTGAAGCTTTAGCACAAAGAAAAGAACTTAATTGCACTGCAAGAAGTTCCTGTGCTCCCTCAGAAAAATATACAGCTACTTTTTTCCCAATAGAACTTCAGCTAAAATAATAGGATATTCAGACAAAATTGCTCCCTGGGTGGAAGAAACAAGACTGCTTTCATTTCTTTTAAGTCAATGCCACCTTCCAACTTGGGAATGCACTCCATCCTCCTACTCGTAGCTAGTTTTTCCCAATACATCAATGTTTCCACTGACACCACCAGAGATCCCACTTTTGCTATCATTCACCACCACTGATGCTACTTCCATCAACTGCCATATTGCTATAACCAAGCTCACCACCATAGCCAATCCTGGGGTTGCTTTTACAATAAACCACTATCTCAACAAGGTGATGAAGAGTTGAAGACACATCATATCTATGCAAAAATTGGAAAAGAAGGGAATGGAGAGGAAAGCCATTTGAATTGGGGTCCTATTAAAAAAAAGCCATTTGAGTTGGGCATATGTCAGAATTTAGAGCAAGTTACTTCACCTGCTTCTAATTGGATTAGATTTTTTTTGCTTCTTTGGGTTCTTCTTTTTTATTGGCTGGGTTAATCATAAGGTTGATGTATTCAGGCTGATTTTAACTATACATTTAATCCATAATAAACATGTCTAAACAGGTTACAACTGAAACTGGTTAAGACCCAAACCCAGGGTTAGAGAGATACCAATTCAATTGAGTCGGTGACCAGTTAATATAACCATTGTTTAGAATACTGACACATATGTAGCACATTAGTAATGCCAACACATAAATAAGAGAAGTGATACATTTAACATATTCACATAATTTACATATTGCAATTCCTTAGCACATAGTGCAATAAAACATTTTTCTTAAAAAAACAAAAATTGTCCGTCATAAGGTTGCAGGGTCACTATATATTTTTCCGCATGTAAAAGGATGTAAAAGGATGACCACTTGTTTCAGGACTCCAGATCTGCTAGAAACAAGTGTAACCAGGCTAGCAACACCAAATCAGAAATAAGCATGACAGAGATTTGTACTATTACAAGATGTGTAGCAACTGATGTGTTTACTTCTTGATGTAACCGTTTCTGGTCACGTATCATTTTTTTGTGATGTATCAATTTTTTTGGCTAAGTGCCTCGTCATTTGACCTGCTCACAGGAGAGGATGGTGGAGCTCCCTGGTGGTGAGCTACTTGGTGACGAACTCCCTGGTGGTGAGCTACTTGGTGACGAGCTCCCTGGTGGTGAGCTGCCTAGTGACGAGCTACCTGATGGCTAACTACCCGGGGGAGAGCTATGCTGAGCTCCCTGGTGGTGAGCTACCTTGGTGGACTCGTCATTTGACCTGCTCCTAGGCAGCCTGTAACTCAGAGGATGGTGGAGCTCCCTGGTGTAGCGCAACCCAACTGCCCTCTGCATGAGGTGACCTCCTCTCCTTTGTAGGCGGCGGGAGCTGAGGAACCTGCGAGAACTGAACCAGGGGCCCGGGGGTATTTACCCGGCGGGGACTCTCCGATGCCTAAGTTAGCACTCTGATTGTCAAGAGCTTGAAGATGATATTAGAATGAGAGAGCTAGAGAGCAGGGATTACCTCCATTTTTTCCTTCTCCCCCCTTGCCTTTGGGGGTTGGAGTCCTTATATAGCGGTGTCCTGTCAAATCAGGCGTGACTGCCTTTGTCAAGTCAGGCATAACCGCCTCTGTCTCTCTGTCGCAGTCGTCGCTGTCAGAGCTGAGGCGGCAGGTGCAGGCGACTGTTGCAGAGTACGGCTCTGCCAGGCAAGGCGCCGCCTGGCAAGAGACGTGGGCGCAGGTCTCCAAATCTGTCAGGTACGATTGTCAGGCAGGAGATCTTCCTACGATACGCCAAACTACTCTTCTGTACCGAGCTACCCTACAAGTGGCGAGTTGCCCGGGGAAGCTATGCCGAGCTGCTTGTGGTGAGCTCTGCCGAGTTGCATGGCTCCTTGGTGGCGAGCTCCTTGGAGAGCTCCTTGGAGAGCTCTTTGGTGAGCTACCGAGCTCCTTGGTGAGCTACCGAGCTCGTGGGGTATGCATGCCGAGTTTATCGGTGGGCGTCTTATGGGTTGCCAGGTCGGGTCGTGTGCCAGGCTGATCCAGGTTGGCTAGGTCGACCAGGTCGGATCATGTGCCGGGCTGATCCAGGTCGGCTAGGTCGGCCAGGTCGGATCATGTGCCAGGCTGATCCAGGTTGGCTAGTTGTCACGAGGTGCCACGTGTCACCTGAGGCATATGCCTCTAGCGCAACTCATGAAAAAAGCGTATGAGGTGTACGCCTCTTGCACCTAAGGCATATGCCTCATAGGTGTCAGCACATCTGGCATATATGCCTTGGGGCATTTTGGGAGCGCCTCGCCTGGAAGCGTTTTGGGAGCACCTCTGGCATACACCTCCCACGCCTTTTAAAACACTGGTATAAACTAAAACCACCTCTACATGGGGGAAGTTAGAGATTGAGAACTAGAAATTCATCAGCCCAACACAATGAAGGTAGTCTAGCATAACCAATCAGATTGGGATCCATGACACATCAAATCAAAACTTACAGAATGACAACTTTATGCAAAAAGGTTATGGTCTCCAGGCCACCCCAGACAAGACCCTGGTAGCTGGAACCAGCATAAGAAAATGGCCCTTCAATAAACATAACATAAAGGAAGGGCTATTGCTTGGTTTGATGGTTGACATGTGGGAAAAAAAAAGCAATCTAACACAGTGACACTAAAAAGGCAGATGCTTTGTGTGGAAATGCCAAAGGTTAGGTTCGTAAACAATTCACCACCCCCAAGTCCTTGAATAGCTAGGACCAACATATGAGAGTGGGTCTGCATGTTTGTGCATGTTCTTACTAATTTAGCTATTAAGCTGCCAACCCAACCAACCCAATTTTATAATAGAGCTAGGTTAGGGTTACAGTAAACAGCTACTCAGGGGTCATAGGTAGACATGTTCATGGGTCGGGTGGCCCGACAGCCCAGCCCGGCCCCCAGACATGCTTGGACATGTTTTTTAGCCCGCGGGTTTGATCTCAAGCCTAAAAGCCCGGCTTGATTATTTTCTGGGATGGGCTCGGGATTTGTCAAAAAAGGTCGATCCGACCCAAATTTTGTATATAATAAAAATATATAATTTCTAAACCCTAACCCGACTAACCCTTTCCCTCTTTTCATTGATCTCACTTCTCACTCTCAAAGTCTCAGTCTAAGATCAACAAACCAATGGTAGCTAGCAAGTAGCAACCACCGGCGCCACCAACGAACTAGTAATCTCTGACAAGTCGGCGTCGAGCATAAGCTAACAGCAGCATGAGACAACCTTTTTTTTTTACTTTACCTTCTCCGGCGAACTCAAGTAGTAGCGAGCTAGCAACCAAATCCTCTTGTCTCTTGTTGTTTTTATCATTCTCTAGCGGCAACAAACTAGGCTAACAGTGGCAACTGGCGAGTGATCGGGTCCTCAAAGTCCAAACTTAGTTTTTTTTTTTTTGAGTTTTTGTTGTTAGGTTGAGCTTCGGGCTCAAGCCCGAGCTTCGGACATTTTATGAGGGTCGGGCTTGGGCCTGAAAAGATTCTGTTAATGAAGAGTGAAATCCTGGCCCAACCCATGAACAGATCTAGTCATAGGCAACCCTTACCTGAAGCAATTACATGAAGCATTTTGATAAGGAGTCTTTTCTTGGTGCAGTGGTAAAATCACAGGCAGACAAGCATGATAAAATGGGTTCAAGTCTACAGCACCTAATTTGTCCCAAAGAAAAAGGCCAAAGTTTACATTCAAAGCCAGTCTACCCCTACCAAGACCCTAATAGCCAAGGCAATCATTGGATGACCCTTTTTAGATTATCAAATGCTGGACTAACTCATTAAAAGTAAGAAGATAGTCATGTAGTATGATTGACATGATGTAACATAGCTATCCAAGGGAAATTTGTTTACCACTGCATACTTGACCCACAAGAAGATCCTAACAATGTTGAGGATACTAGACTACTCAAAATTTAGAGCCTTTAAAACACAAAATTTGATACATGTCCATGCTTAGAATTGACCAATTAGAAGTCAAATCTGTGCTTATTTCAAGGTCCTTTCCCTTACAGCCTTTTCCTGTAAAAGAGGTTTGGGGCAAACCCATCCCACCAAGAATTGGAGCTTTCAGTTAGGAAGTTTTTCATGAGAAAATTAGCATGCAACTCGATACAAAAAAGGAGACCTGCTTATTGCCTTTCTCCTCATGGGTGCTCTTTGCAACGCAAATGGTGAAACCTGCTATCACTTACTAATCTCATATGCACTTGTTACTTATATTTGGCATTGGTTCTTCGCTTTGTATGGGTACAAGTGGATATTAAGCCTATTTGCTAGCACAACTTTTGTATGGCCAAAAAAAATGGGTAGAATTATGTAGAGAAGCGTAAGGGCTACAGTTGCTTGGGCAATGTGAGACAAGGGAAATGCAAGAACATTTAAGACGAAAGAAAGAAGCAAGGAACTCTAATTAAATGCATAACCATTAGGATAGCTCAATGGATAAAATCTTTTTTTTTATCAGCAACACAAAATTGATTCATTAGATTAAAAATAGAGATACAACAAAGAGTTGTGAGCACAAAACAAAGCCCAAACAGAAACTATTCATTATTTACAGAATTGCCGAAAACATAGGTTGTCTTTGAGTTCCTTGCTTTGCAAGACCATCAGCCAAACTGTTTGCATATCTCCTAAATTCCTAATCCACCTTATTTGGATCATCATATCTTTAAAAATGTGCTTGAATCTCCTGAATTCATTCCTTAACTTCCATATGATTCCTTCCCCCCTTTTCAGCCAGCCCACAACTACTTTTGAATCACCTTCAATAATCAGCTTAGTAATCCCCATTTCTTTAGCTTTCTCTACTCCATAGACTGCTGCCAATAATTCTGATCTCACCACATCGGCTCAATGGATAAAATCTTTGGTTTTAAAAAAGAAAAAAGAGAGATAGGGAAAGATATAAGACACCTTATCTTCTAAAGAAAGTCTGTACATATATATGTACTTCCCTTTGGTTCATTACTAATCAAATTTGAGAGCTATTGATCAAAAAAAAGAAAACCACCTTCTAGAGAGACCACCTCTACCAAATTAGACAGAGAAAAGGAATTAAGAGGAGTGTTGAAACTTAACATGAGAACTATGCACTCTGTTCTTGACATTCTTGTTTCATCCATGATGCTCTGACCACCCAAACCCTACATGTCCAACTCTCACTTCAAAGAAATCAATGAAATCCATTATATTAGATACCACGAAGGAAAATTCAAGAAAGAAAAGGTAAAAAAGGAGATCCAATAATTCCAAACTATCTGCCAACATATTCAGTCTTGTCATTGGATACAACTTTAGTTTAAATTCTATACTCAACAACATATCCAGTCTTGTCCTTGCTGTATCTGGGTAAAATAGCTTCAGATCCAATATTATCCTAAAAGAAAACTCTATTTCCAAATGTTTAGACAATGAACAAATTACATCAGCATGCATATCCAATGCACAAAGATTTCAATACACGCATAAACAACAGTGGGGGAGCTCATGTCCAACAACTTGGCTCCATTTCAAACAGGTTCTCTCTTCTTTAGTTTGAAGATGCTAAATTTCTCCTTCGTTTCTTACAATTTTGGTGGCATTTGGTTTATGGTTCTAAAAAGGGTGGTGTGGTTCTAGAACCATATGATAAGTGAGCATTGGTTGTATGGTTCATGTGCACATGTACTTTCACTATCTACTTTTGTACGGTCATAATCAAATAGAGAATATTGACTGGAGCTATGTTGGTGTGTGAGGCACACCATAGAACTGCCATGTCATGCTTACATCAGTGAACCGTGTTTCCTAGGTGAAAAATCTATAAAAAAATTGTGTTCAAATTTCAAAAAAAGAAAGAGGCCATTTTGCTGATTCAGGAACCATGGGTTGCTGGTTCCAAAACCAGCAATATCATACAGAACGTTGGTTGTGTTCGTGAACCAATTGAAACATGAACACAACCAGGAACTTACCACCCCTGTCATACTAATTACAAGTGCAGGTATTCATCCCTAAATATCTTCCCTATCCATTAAGTTATTATCAATATAATGTAAGAACATTTTATAGGCAAGTAAGAAAAGCATGGGGATTGTTTCATGCTATTAAAGAAATTCCGGCGCCAGTGGACAACCTATTTTGTTAGTCACCATCCACCCCTCCTCTTTGTAAAAGAAGTTAAATAAAAAAGAATATCTTTCCTTTTCTTCACAATCAGTATCAAATTAAACATAATTGTGATATATCTACTGGAATTAAAACAAAAACCAAGAAATGTTGCCCCTTTATTATGAAAGTAAGTACCTGCAAGATCGCCCAATATGTCGAAGGCCATCTGTAGAAAATCCAGAACACTTGTCGAGTTTAAGTACCTCGAGCATGTAACCACGAGCTTGAGCTAGAACCTCCAGATCATTATCCTTGACTATCATCCGTCGGAAATGAAGCGACTTTAGACATTGAAAATCCCTTGCGATTTCATTAATCCATGGACCGGCATATCCTCCCCAATCCTCCGGTATGAGATTAAACATTGCAGCCCGAGGTTTCCCCTTCAGTTTCAGTGACTCAAGACACCTAAACCTTCGTGCTAGACGATCAGGAGTGCATGTGTAACACAACGCAATAATGACATGCTTCCGCGTCCGAGAATCAGCTTCATACCATCTACGACAAACTAGAGAAACAGCATTTCGGTCGCGAGGATCTTGGATAAATTCCATGACACGGTCTAGAGCCAGATCTGATATGCCAAGGCTCATTACCCTATCCAAGTTTCGATTCGCCATGTGTATAATCCTAGAGACGAAAAGGTCGAACAATGCAAAATTCGGAGCTCCGGCAGTTGAACAACGGGGAACTTTGAATGGAAAATATCAAAAGAAGAAGGAATTTCTCAACAAAAGGGTTTCTCGATCTGCGAAAAAATGATTAAATGGTGTTTCTACGAAAAATTCAACTCCTACAAAACCCCTATGCCACAACTAGCAGGAAAGGGAAAAGGGAAAAAGAAAAGAATATGAAAAACCTTTATGACAACCACAAATCAATCAGCAAACGCAAAACCGCACCGCTACGAACAAATCTGTCCAAGTACCTAAAATCTAGACACGACATCGGCGAGCCGATGAATGGCTTCACTCTTCAACTACTAGAGAAAAAAGTTAAGAGCAGGCTTCCTTCAAAAATAAAAACGGAAAAAAAAAAAAACACGAAATCAATCCATAAAACATACGCGTAATCTACAAGCTACTCTTCGATCTGCTTAGAAGCAGAAGAAGAAGATATTCTAACAGGGAAATCAACAGGGTCGTCCGTTAAAATTGAATTAACAGACCTTCCAAGTTCGAAGCCAGTCTAAAAGCTGAAACCAATCTAGAGTAAACTTCGGAAGTAGAGAAGCTGATTAGATCCGAGAATCTGCCGTTAACGCGAGAAGGGGAAACTAGTCTCCAACTCTCCGTATTCTTCAAACGCAGCCTCTTTAACGAGGGAACTGCTGGACCGCTGCTGCTGCTGCAAGGAGGCAGACCCCGCAGCTCTGCCATCTATGGAACCGGCCATCCATCAATGGCGTCACGGAACTCAAAACCCCGACCGAGATTAAGAAACCAATGGTGAAAGATCGTCAGATAAATTTATCAGACAACAAAAGTTAGCAACAGTTCTCTGTAAAACCGGATTAGTCCTTGATCAGTGTGAGAGAGAAGCGGAAACAAAAAAAATATATATATAAAATATAAGAATAGTAAAAAAAAAAAAGAAAGAGTCTAGATTCTTTCCATCGTCGGCTCCACTGTCCTTTCACTTCTTCTACTCAGTTTGATACAAATGCAACAGCGTAAATACATATAAATAATACAAAATAAGATTGGTAGGTTCTCTAGAGACCTGGGATCAAATTCCCTGCCACCAGGGGTTGGGGGGTTAAGGGAAAGGGGATGGATGTAGCCCGATGAAGCGAAAAAAAAAATACAAAATAAGGTTTTACACTGAATATTTGCATTTGTACTCCGTCCTAATTCAGCCTTAGGCAAAATCAACAACATTTCACTTGATCACTTGTTTAATTGCATGTTTAAAGGAAACTCGGGTAGCTTCCGTCATTCGTGTGGACATTTTCGTCGATACACCACTGCGGTAGTGCACTAGACCAGCGACAATTCGGTTAAATGCTGTTTTTATCTTGTCTCGGGTCGGAAGGGCCATCCGGTTTGAATCGGATCTTCTCGTCACAACTCACAGAACGCTATTTACAGTTGCATCAAGTTGCAGTCGTGCATTAGGAATATTTAATATTTAAATACCGCATATATTCCCGATGTACGGCTGTAAATGCTTGTCCTGCGATTTATAGATCGCGTTGGCGCTCCACACAGGGGTATGTATTTTAACCGAAAAAATCTAAATTTTAAAAATCGATATAATAAGATGGTAAATTGAATCGAAACTGAAATATGTGAAAACCATCAAATCGAATTAATTTTTTTTCTATTATTACGAATATTTCCGTTAAAACCGAAATTAATTTTTTTTTTTATTATTTCGGTTCATTTCACCAATACTTGATAAGAGGCGGATTTTGTGAATTTATTTAGGTTATTTCTGACTCTATTTTTCTTAAACTGAAACTTAATGAGTAAGAATAAGAGCCAGGATGATTAGAAGAAGATGCAAGATGGTCCTGCTAAGACCAAGAGCACTGGAGGAAGATGCAAGACACAGTCACATCTCAAGGTCTCAGCCACTCAGGTCTCACACAGAAGTAGAGCAGATGCAAGCGGCCGATCAACTGCGACACTCGGCAGTCGATAGGACAGGAGGATTGACCAATTGAGAAAGACACACTCACCCAACAACAACAGGCCAACTTATTCTTATTCCAAATTTCCAATAACCAATACAATCTACAGGGATTAAAGACTAGAGAGACTGATCGGGGAAGATGCTAGCTAGTCAATAGTTTACTTGTCTTTTTAGTTTTGCTTCTTTTGAAAATTTTGCAAATACAATACGGACCGCAATTGTTTTGTACTCTCTAGTCCCATCAAATGAAGTAATGATCCAATGAGCATAATATATTAATATAATATTATAAATTATAATATAAATAATATAAAAATTATATAGTTATACAATTAAATTGGCTTTTTTAGTTAACTTATTTATCAATTATGATAATTGAAACCGAAACCTAAAGTATAAAATAACCAAATAACAAAACCGAACTTGACCAAAACTCGATTTAAACTGAAACTAAAATTTCGGCTCGATTTTTCGATTTTAAGCGAATTATGCTCACCCCTACTCCACATACATGCATTAGGAGAGATCACGACGAGGAGTCTAGATCACCTGCTAACAAAACACGTCCCAACCCCTACCAACATGATCTGGCAATGCACATTTCATATATTTATGGTAGATCCCAATTTCATGGTGAGATGTGTGGTGTCAGATCATGTTAGTAGGGGGTTGGAATGTGTTTTGTTGGCAGGAGATCCCAATTCCACTAGGGATGCCCCACATGTACCTCTCAACATCTATTGAGAACATCCCCCAATAACAAATACAGGAGATGTTCCGAATGCATGGTGAGATGTTCATGTCGGATGCGCTCTGTTGAGCGCATATGTGAACAGTGGACTCTGGGATTTAAAGACTATTACCCTACTTTCAAATTCTAATGTTACACGTGTCTTATTGGAAAGCTTTTTATGTTTGAATTTTCTTCCCACATGTCAATCAATTGAAACCTCGAAAGTCGAAAGACACTTGTGTCTTAAATTTATGGGGTATTTCTGTAGTGTGGATGAGAAATTGGTGGGTATGAACTGGTCCACACCACACCTTATGGCAGGGACCAATCCACACCACACCATAGTACACAGCTGTTCTGAACTATGGATACATTCCAGTCCACACCCACAATGGCGTTCTACAGGTGTGGTGTAGATTAATCCTCACCATACTTTTTGATTCCATGTATCTCATATACATTTTATAGTCCTGGTCCGGCTAAGAGATCGTCATTCAACTTATAGCTATCGATGATAAACGTTAATAAAGAAGTAACAAAAAATACAGAAGATGAAGAAGAATGCCCTTATTTGATATTTTTCAAAAAAAGATAGCTTATTTAGATTATTATATAAAAATATTATTTTTATTAATATTAAGAGCAAAAAATTACCCTTAACAGCTAAAAACCCTTTATTTAGTAGGCGAATGGATCATACATTACTAGACCCAATTTTCTACGTAACGCTGACGCATTTTGGTGAACACGATCGATGCATTGCAAATTTGCAATTAGTGTTGTGAATGGATCGGGTTTGGATAGATCTAGTCCAGGATCGATAACTATATAATTTGGCTAAAAAAACAGAAAAAGAAAAAGAAATTTGTCAAACGGAGTGCTCTGACTTGGCTCATAGAGTTTTAAGAGCTTTTGGATTATCAGAAGACTTTTACCCCCTCCCCCTTTTTTGTAATCAGACCACTTATAACCATTTGATTTGTTCATTATTAAAGAAGCAGCCTTTTCAAGCTTTAGAAGAGCCTTTCCCCACCTAAAATAAATGCAAAATTAATGATGGCCATATAAAAGAGTAATTTCAAGCAAGATAAGTATTTTCTTCTTTTAGAGTAAACCTTGAACCCAACTATTTGTTTTTAGTTGCATGAGTATTATTTTGTAATTCTTCCTATTGCTTAGCTTTATTGTTCAAATTGTTCGAGAGGTTTTTCCATTGTTCATTTCCATCGGAAAATTTACATAAAAACCTATAATTAATAAACACACACATATATATATATATATATATGTCCTTTTTAGAAAATAAAATAAATAGTGTTTTTTGTTTAAATTTGTGTAGAAGTTTTTCCATTATTGCCACGTAAAATAGGTTAAAATAATTGTTGGCCCGTGTAGGAAAGCTTAATGAAGCTACAAAAATCTTGACATGACATTTGGTTCATGCGTTTTATACCTTTTTAAAGTACTAAAAACACCAACACTGTATGCTTTGGTCTCATGTAAAGAGATGGTTACATACTTATGTAACTAACATATGTTACTTTTATACATGTTATTACCGATGACAGTCATGTGTGTTTTAAGGCCCTGATTAAGTGGTTGTTAAAAGAAATATACAATGCTTTTCACATATTATACTATACATTTCAATGAAAAAATGACACATCATGTGACAACTGAGAGCCCACGTGGACCCACATGCAAATCATCATGTGGACCCAATTAATAATAATAATAATAATAATAATAACAACAACAACAACAAGTCAATTGATAAATAATAATAATAATAATAATAATAATAATAATAATAATAATAATAATTTAACAAATCTTTAATAGTATTTGTTGTTGGTGGTTGGACGGTGAGATTGTCGCCGTTAAACTCTTCCAAGGTGCAAATCTGCGAACACAACAAACATGGGAGTTTCAAGTTTTAAAAAACCCAAGAAAAATGATTTAATGAGAAGAAAAACTTCACAAAATGGAAGAAAATGGCAAAACGACAAGTTTTCCATCCATTTTTCCTCATTGTCAATCGTCACCGGTGGACCTGTAACTGGGTGCATCGCTACCTGGTTCGCTATGTTCGAATGAGATGAGATGGAGGTAAAATCCTCACGTTGGGGTATTTTGGGTATTAAAAGAAAATACTAGGGACTCATTCGTCCCATTGTAATGGAGAAATACTTCTTCAAGAAGTGCTGGAAAAAAAATAGCAAAGCCAACTTAAAGTCACTTTTTCAAGTACTTCTTTTAACAGAAAGTACTTCTTTCCCATTTTTTTACCAAACACATAAAAACACTTAATAACCACTTATTGTGTGGTTCCAACTCTTAAAAGAAGTACTTCTTAATTGTCAATGTTATGTGACTAACACGTGGCAACTAGACCTGTTCATGAGCCGGACTTCAGGTCTAATTTTACATTACATTAAAGTCCGGGCTCATTCAAATTTTGGCAAAAGCCAAGCCCGACCCCGACCCATGAACAGGTCTAGTGGCAGCTATGTGTGCTCTAGGTATAAGTGTCATAGTTATGTGGCTGCTATGTGTCACCATTATTCATATGTTATTAACACAAGTTATTACTATGTGATTGTCATGTGTCACTATTATATATTTCATCAGCATATGCCACTATTATACATGTGGCTACCAAGGGTGAGCATGGGGTAGTTTGGTTCTGTTCCAAGGCATGCATAACCTAGAAGCGACCCTAAGAATTATCAATAACATAAGGACATTTAGAATTATTGATAATTCAATATTACTCACTAATATAATTGAATGGAAGTTAGTTTAATTGAGTAATTTACATTTTGTAAATATTAGTTTTATTGATTTTTATTACTTATTAATTTTTATATACATTCATACATTATATTGAAGAAAAATTATTAAAGCACTTAAGTGGCTTAATGAAAAAGTGAGGTGATAACTTTTATAATTAATAACACAAGTGCTTGGGTTCAAATCCTCACATCCTTAAAATATTTATGGATTTATTTATAAGGTAAGTTTGATTCTAAGGTTAGTTTCACCCAGGCTAACTAAGGCTAATTTTTTTAGGTCGATTCAAGTAGGATATACCTCCAAACCCTAGAACCAGCCTGAGTGGAGGTTGGTTCCAAGAATTTGGAATCGGACCCTATCCGATAATAGGTAAGTAGGGTTGGTTTGAAGTCATTTCCAAGTAAACTGACC